GACGACGCCACACAACACGCTCACGCAGCCTGATGGTTACCAGGGGTGGCAACCTCAATCGGTGGATGCTACTCCGCTGGCACGGAGCCTTCGTCGGCGTCGCCGCGGCTCCGAGGCGCCTCCTCTTCCCACGGGAACAGGAAAAACACCAGCACGACAAAGCAAACAAAGCCAACGCAACCAAAGAAGATGAAGGCGATCGCCTGGCCCTTGTCCTGGTTGCCGGACGGACCACCGGACATGCCCTCCGTCGCAATTGGGTAGCAGACGTTGATGATGATATTGCAGAGAAACTGTGCCACCATCACAACCGACGAACCCTTCGGACGGAACGAGCGTGGAAACAGCTGCTGAGAAAGCACAAAGAAGCACGGTCCAAGGCCAAACTCAAACGCGGCAATGAATATGGCAATGCCAGTGATCGCAACACCGTTCTTCACGTTGGTACTGGCAACGCCGGGGTACACAGGGATCCCGCACAGAAACAGACACGACACCGACGCTACAAGTGTGGCACCGAGAAACATCTGGCGCATCGTGAAGTACCAGGCAAGTGGAATCGCAGCAAGTGTCGTCACAAAGTTCCATAGCATCACCACAAAGTTACCCACAAGAGGCACCATCCCCAAGTTGCCCATGATCGTCGGCGCATAGTTCATCACCGCATTAATGCCAGTCAGCTGCGTCGTTGCATCCATCACAATCCCCATCACCATAGGGCCGAGCATCTGCAGGTAGCCGTACTCATTCGGGTCCAGCGCATCGTCATTGTCCTCGTGCTTGCCTGTCGTAAACTTCGTCTTGCTATCGCCCAAAAAGATGCCAAGCAAAATCATGAGGAACGAAATCAGCGTCGAAAAGGCGCAGTAGCCCTGCATGCGGGCCTGCATCCTGGTCTCCTTGTCAAACTGCACGCTTTGTCCAAGAGCCAAACCCATCGCGGCAGCAAACATGATGCCAAACGTAATGAACACCTGGAACAGGACGCCGTCCACTCCAGAAAGCTTCGGGTGAGCGTTCTGGTCGCAATACATGGGGCAGACGACGCACACAACACCGATTGCAGCGCCAATCAGCAGACGACCAACACACAGCACCCAAAACTCATCCGTTGCCGAGGAAACATGGTACAGCACAGAAGACACAATGCCAACGATGCCAATAACCAGAAACGACACCTTGTGGCCAAACTTCGCAACAAAATGCCCGGCATAGATCGACCCAAGCATGCTGCCAAGAATCATCGCACCAGCAAAGATACCATTGTAGGACGCGCTATAGCCAACCGGGTTCTTGCACTCCTTGTCACCGTACATCCACTTGCACCTGTCGTCCGCGAGGCATGCAGCCTC